TATATAAACACACAGATAAAGGCTGCACCAAAGTGCTGTACGGTAATCAACAAAAATCACAAAAATATTCAGTTCAGATCTATTTTTCGAGGCCTAAAGGCAGCCTAAACATGCATGTTTTTGAACTGTGGGATGTAAGTGGAGTACCCAGAGCAAACCCACACAAACAGGAGAATAACATGTAAACTCCACACAAAGACCCCAGGCCCAACCCAGGGCTTAGAGAAAACCACTTGTCATCCAGTTTTTTCTATGAATTTTACTGAACTGGTGAAAGAGATGACACTAAAACAGACACACAAACCCTGACACACAGACAGGTAAAAATACTTCAAACATATTCCAAATACAGTTCCAACAAGAAAACCAGTTTCCCAAACGTGTGAACCTTTCACAAGATCATCATATTTGAACCCAACAGAGTATTTAACTTGATTCTACTGTCTGTTTTTCATAGATGTCCTGTGTCCAAACATGAAGGTTCAGCCCGATCGCTTTAAACCCAACAGCACCAGTTCTGGTCTCACAGAGGTTCCAGGTATGTGCTAACAGCTGCTTCCTGTGTTAACAGTGTACGAGTCAACCACAGACTTTATTTTAGACATTTCCACCCACATTAAACACTTCTAAAGGAAAAAGATATGTTTATGCTGAAGGTGAGAGCTTTCAAAGTTTCCTCTGCTGCTCTGTGATGAATTATTTTTACTGTAGGGGTCACCTCGAGTGGAYTAATCATGGAAACTCGACCTCAGTCCTCTGATGGACCTTTTAAAGAGACAAAAACTCTGTTCCACTTAGAACTGAATTTAGGCCACCGCAGGTCGCCTTAACCTGTCAAAGAGATATTCTCTTCTAATTCAGATGATAGACAGAAGAATCTTCATCTTATTTGATTTATTGTTCTCTTAACTGAAAGTTATTACACATTTTGATAATCAGAGAATGTTCATCAAAGTTACAGGAGAAGAGAGGACAGATCTCTTTTCTCCCTCAGTATGATTTCAGTTATGTATGGATTTTCTGTGCAAAAATCTTATTTAACTTAAATATAATCTTTATGGTTTAAAGTTGATGAAACATCATTGTTATATTTGTCTGAAACATATTGCAAATGTTTGAATTTGAAGTTCCATATTTAATCACATATAATACGATCTCATATATAATATGATCTCATGTATAATACGATCTCATATAATACGATCTCATATATAACATGATCTCATGTATAATACGATCTCATATACAGTACGACCTCATGTGTAATACGAATACGATCTCATGTATAATGCAACCTCATGTATAATACGATCTCACATATAATACNGATGCTGGTGTTTTATTTCAGAGACTGATAATCGCTCGAATTCGTGTGGAGTTTGAGTTTTTTAAGTTAACACAGAACATTGATGGGTTTATATGTAAGTGGGGTATTAATGATGTTTTGTGTACATTGGATGAGGCATCCTTAGTTTTTACTTTTTTTGAGTTTGTATTTATGATTGTTTTTTGTTGTCTGACATAAGAAGTGTAAAATAAAAGGAATTTTAAACCTCAACCTCTCTCTCTATTTCTCTCCTCCAAACTCAGATCCTCTCTTAAGACTGAACTAAATGGCAAAAGTTATTGCCCTTTGTGCACAGATAAGGCTCCTGATTGGTTCAAATTTGCCGCAGTGGTCACATGATACAGTATATCATGACATCGTGTTCAGATAATTTATAACCTCAGACTGAATAGAAAACCGCTACTTTGTTTTTTTTTAACTGCAAATGAATCAGATTATTTACCACTGTCAAGATGATTAATTTCCATTTGTTCCAGAGTTCCATTTCTCTTTAATGTCCAAAGTTCACACAGAAAATTATTCAGAGTTATGCTACATTATTGTTATGAATAATTAGGGTGGGTGCCAGCCAGGTATCCATCCTGACAAATAGGATGTTTTTGACCAGCTTAAGGTGTTTTTCTGTTGTTTTATATATGGTTTAATTTTAGTTAACCAGACACATAAGGACATGTAAAGTATGAAAAATATTACAAATACACACCCTTTCAACTGTAATTAAATTACAAGTGACAAAAAATGTTAAGAAAATGAAGTGAGCACAGACCAAATATTTAAGTGTTTTTCCAATATATTATTTACAAAACAAAAATAGAATATAAATTCAAAACAATACATAAACACAAAACAAAATTACCGTTACCCCCTTGTGTCCATATGTGGTATTAAAAAAAACATTCATGTTCAGAGTTCAAACATAAACAATGTTCCAGCTTGGCTTCCACAAGCAAGGGAGAAAAAGGATGGCTTGGCTTACAAGCACAAATGTATCAGGTCTGGTATGCAGGAATGGACCCAAATGCATGTTCAAGTAAAATAAAAGATTTATTCAAATTAAAGGCCGGCGGGGCGGCAAAAACAAGAAACAAAAACTGAAGTACACAGGGAGGTCAGGACGGAAACCAAACAATGATCGGACAATAGTGGAGAGAGAATGAACAGAATATATACTGTGGGGATAAGTAGAAAAGGGAGACAGCTGAGATGATTACAAGTGCAGACAGGTGTGAATGGAATGATCTGGAGACAGGAGATAAACTGAGGTGAAAGAGTAATGTCATGAAACAGACACAAGAGGGAGACTGCAGACAAGACAACAGAAAACACATATCCTCACAAAATGAAGGCTTTACAAAAATGAGGGCTTGTCTTGTCTTGGCTCCACAAGTGCAAGGGCTTGATGCAGGTTGAGGTGAAACTCAACAGAGACTGTGCACAAACAGGTGTTCTGATCCGGGGGTTCTGACTGGTCACTGAGTGTGTATATATGTCTGTGTGTATATTTATACTATGTATGAATGTAGGCATGTATGTATGTATGTCTTTATATACACTCCTGATCAAAATCTTAAGACCAGTCAAAAAAGTGCAAGAATTTCCATTTTGCACTGTTGGATCTTAAGAAGGTTCTAAGTAGAGCTTCACAATYTTAAAAGAAGAAATCAGTGCAAGAGACAAGAACTTTTGAGCAGGGAATTTTCTGAAAACTGCATTTACACTCAAACATGATTTTTTCAGCAGATCAAAAGTTTAAGACCATAGCTCAAAAAAATCTGAAAACCCCCAAAACAGAAATCAAAGTGTAAAAAAAAGGACTCAGTAATGAGTAGCTCCACCATTCTTGTTGATGACTTCAAACAATGGTTTAGGCTTGATGCCAGTGTTTCCAGGAGGCTAGTGGGAA